GAAAGGTTCATAAAGTGCTTCATACTGAGTTATGTTTCCACTTACAGTTTTTTCATAAACCAATCATAAGTTTGTAAGTCAACTGCATTTAATGAATCATCATAATTATTAAATTTACACTTTATTTTTGTTGTAATACTCGCTGAATAGTCATGCAAGTCTTGAAAACTTTGTAGATTCAACATTTTCTTCTGGAATTTACTTTTCAAATACAACTGTAGAGCATCTGGAGATCTTGCAAAAAAGATGCGGTGATTTAGAACTAACCAAAGAATAATTATTGGCCTAAAAAGGCTTTTGGGATTTAATTCTTTCTTTCTGTAAGTTATTAGATTAGACACAACCAACTGATCATCTACAGGATTGTATATAACAAAACGGTATGCCTCTCTGTCAATTTATACTGATGGTATACATTTCCCTTTATCCCTATGCCGATTGTGTTCAGTAAAGCCTCGGTCTCACTTACTCCCGGCAGAGCCCAGGACCATCCCGGTAAGTTACCGGGATGATCCGGGATGAAATTATTGTTGCGGTCACACTTACCCCGGCAGCACTACGGTAGTTCCCTACTAACCACCCAGGATGCGATCCGGATCATCGAGGCAGAGCCCAGGTGAAGCTACGGTTCATGCCGGTGCTTCCCCGGTCGTTCCCGGATGACGCCGGAAGAGCCCCGGTTGACCCAGGCAGAGCCCCGGTCGATCCAGGCAGAGCCCCGGCAGAGCCCAGGACGATCCAGGCAGAGCCCCGGTAGAACCCCGGTGGATTGAAAACGCACGAAAATGACAACTTTGATACATAATTATTTTTAATATAATATCTATTGTTCCAGAATAGTAATTCATGATGATTTTCTGAAAAATCTTTATGGCATATTGGATAGAAGGGAAATGGGAAGGCTTTTAATACAAAAAAGTTCAATCATCGCATTGTCCTTATTCTTTTGAAATGATCCGGGCTTTGCCGGGGCTCTACCGCGACTCTACCAGGATCAACCGTAGCTCTACCTTTATCCTCCAGGGCTCTGCCTGTAGTTACCTGGGCTCTGCCGGCATATACCGGGGCTCTACCGTAGCTCTACCATAGCTCTACCGGCTATATCATACCCCGGATCATCCCCGGTTTGTGCCGGGCCGGCAGAGCTACGGTGCTTTCCCGGTATAACCCCGGTCGTTCCCGGCAGAGCTAAGGATGAAGCCGGCAAAGCTATACCTTCCCGGATCATCCCGGACCACCCCGGTGATATTAAATATTTTATTCCATCCGGGGTCGAATGCTGGATGTTCCCGGATCATCCCAGATCATCCAGGGCGTTGCCGGCAGAGTTACGGATGTACCCCGGTTGTTCCCGGTCGCACGCCGGTCTTTCCCGGATCACCCCGGACGTCTACCGGGGCTCTGCCGGGATGTAAGTGAGACTGTAGCTACCCCGGACGTCTACCGGGGCTCTGCCGGGATGTAAGTGAGACTGTAGCTTAAAGCTACAGTCTCACTTACATCCCGGCAGAGCCCCGGTAGACGTCCGGGGTGATCCGGGAACGACAGGGGTTCGACCGGGAACAACCGGGGTACATCGTAACTCTGCCGGCAACGTCCTAGATGATCCGGGATGATCCGGGAACATCCGGCATTCGACCCAGGATGGAATAAAATATTTAATATTACCGGGGTGGTCCGGGATGATCCGGGAAGGTATAGCTTTGCCGGGATGATCCGGGGTATGATATAGCCGGTAGAGCTACGGTAGAGCTACGGTAGAGCCCCGGTATATGCCGGCAGAGTCCCGGTAACTACAGGCAGAGCCCCGGAGGATAAAGGTAGAGCTACGATTGATCCCGGTAGAGCCCCGGCAAAGCCCGGATCATTTCAAAAGAATAACGACAATTTGCGATGATTGCACTTGTTTGTATTAAAAGCCTTCCCATTTCCCTTCTATCCAGTATGGCATAAGGATTTTTCAGAAAATCATCATGAATTACTATTCTGGAACAATAGATATTATATTAAATAAAAATTATGTATCAATGTTATCATTTTCGGGCGTTTTCAATCCACCGGGGTTCTACCGGGGCTCTGCCTGTATCGTCCTGGGCTCTGCCGTGACTCTGCCTGGATCGACCGGGGTTCTGCTTGGGTCAACCGGGGCTCTTCCGGCGTCATCCGGGAACGACCGGGGAAGCACCGGCATGAACCGTAGCTTCACCTGGGCTCTGCCTCGATGATCCGGAGCGCATCCTGGGTGGTTAGTAGGGAACTACCGTAGTGCTGCCGGGGTAAGTGTGACCGCAACAATAATTTCATCCCGGATCGTCCCGGATCATCCCGGTAACTTACCGGGATGTTCCTGGGCTCTGCCGGAGTAAGTGAGACCGAGGCTTAAAGGCAAAAACAATCGCTTGTGAAACCAGCTCATTGATGCCTTGGTTACAACCACAAATTTTCACTTTTGCATTTGGATGATCACTTAGACTCTCTTCAAGTTCACTTTCTTCCTCTTCCTCCTCCTCCTCATCACTACTATCATCATCTCTTGCTTTATATATCTGTCCTCCTTTTCCAATTTTAACTGCTACTGCATCACCAGTTTCTGGATCTCCTGATACAATATCTAATTCTCCATACCAAGTCTGCTTTGAACTTGAAAAGTACACCATGGTATTTGAATGAAGAAGATTATAGGCATTTACAATCATTTTTTTACATATAAACATTCTAGCTTAAAACCATGTATTAGATTAAGTACATTCAAACATCCAGGTTCTGACAGCTCTGGATTGCTCACCGTGCATAAAAATAGTTTTATCCTCTGGCAGTCAAAACACATTATAGAAGACTTCAAAGGGTATTCTAATTTCAAGACAATATTCTTCAAAAGGTCTTGGAGTAGAGCAAATATTGACCCTGGGATGATTTCAGCAAACTTAGTGCAGTTTTAAAGTTTCTTACAAGAGTTTATCTAAGGTGTCTACATAAAAACTCAAGCAGAGAGCTAATATTAACCCTAGGGCTTGATTTCAAACAAACTTGGTAAAGGTGTATTGATCAATGTTGCACATTTAATATCTCAAGACTAGACCTTAAAGTTTCTGACTAGAAGATTTCTATATGTTTAACTTCATTCTTAGACAAAATGATTTAAATAGTTATATATGTCCTCTATCCCAGTACACAATGTTTACTTAAAATGTAACAGATATACATGTATAAGTGAACATACAAATATCTCTAAGTTACATGCTTATGTAACATGTTTGTTTGTTTGTTAGATCGGGTTTTACATCACATCGACACAGTATAGGTCATATGGCAGCGTTCCAGCTTTACTGGTTCAGGAAGACCTTATGTAACATGTCATTATTAATTTATATGAATTTACTTTAGTACTGTTCAGTTGGAAATAATAAGCTGATTGAAACAATCTCAAATCTGTTCATGGAAGCAACCACTTTTACCAGTACTAAGCAATGGGTGTAATGATTCTTGCTCAAGAAAACAATGACTAGACCCTGACATGGTTTAAACCCACACAGCCAGCAATTCTTAGATCACTAGTCTGACGCATTAACCACTCAGTCACACCATCGCCACCAACATTATAACCCATTTCATTTATCATAGTAAAACTCACATAACATTCTTTTCAATTCTTTATAATGAATAATGACAATAAATGAAATAAAACTTCATTTAATTGCTCTTCAAATATTTGATATAGGTGACAGGTGAGCTACATGTAAATATTAGACAATGAGAGGATTACCTCAAACTGCAGCAAGAGGGCCATGATGGCCATACTATCACTCACCGGAATATGAAAACTCTCAATGACATAGAACAAGTAATATTGTAAATTAAAAACAAAAGAAGATATAAAATCTATATCATATACTGACATCACAAAGTTCATATTTGTATCTGAAATAGTGCACGTGTAAAAACATAATTTTGGTTGCTACTGCTAAAGAAGTGTACAAATAAGGAAAATCAATGACCCAATGAGTAGGGCCAATTTTGACCCCAGGGCTTTTATTTGAACAAACTTGGTAGACACTCACTAGAATATGTTTCATGCTTAATATCTAAGCTCTAGCACATTCGGTATTTTTAAAGGAAGATTTTTTAAGCTTTTACTACATACATATAAGGTAAATCAATGACACCCTGGGGCTGGGCCAATTTTAACTCCAGGGCTTTTATTTGAACAAACTTGGTAGACAACCATTAGAAAATGTTTCACGCTTAATATCTAAGCTCTATAGCTAGCTCTACAGGTCTTTTAAAAGAAGATATTTTAAGTGTTTACTATATACATATTAGTAAAATCAATGACCCCCAGGGTGGGGCCAATTTTGACCCTAGTGCTTTTATTTGACCAAACTTGATAGACATTTACTAGAAGTTGTTTCATGCTTAATATCTAAGCCCTACCTACTACGTTTTTTTTAAAAGCATATTTTTAAACTCTTTACTATTTTAGGAAAATCAATGACCCCCACTTGCCAAAGGCAGAACCAATTTTGACACCAGAACTTTTATTGGAACAAACTTGGTAGACACTCACTAGAAGATGTTTCATGCTAAATATCAAAGCTGTAGCTTTTTGTTGTTTTTTTAAAAAAAAAGATTTTTTAAGCTTTTTCTTTTGATTGCCATGGCAATCAGAGTTCTGCAGAGAATTAAAACCATTTTTAATGTGACCACCAAAGAAACATTCCTGTAAACTTTGGATGAAATTGGCTTAGCGGTTTATGGGGAAATGTTCTTTTAAGTAAAAGATGGACAGACGGCAGATGGATGAACGCCGGACAAATTGTGATCACAAAAGCTCACCTTGTCACTTTTTGACAGGTGAGCTAATTAAACAGGAGCACTGCATGTAGTGTTAATGCTTGGAAGACTAATAAAATTATAAGGGCATAAGTATCAATAACCAATTTTTATAAATAATCTATTTAAGTTACAAAGAGACATAACTCCTAAAATTTCAGGATAATGCCCCTTGTGTTACAACTGTATTGATAATCAAATATTCCAAATTTCATGTTGACAATTTTATAAAAAAAATCTTTGTTAAAAAGCAGCATTAACAATAAGAAAATTAACATTCAGAAAAACGCCTCTTGTCGTTCCAATATCTTTTGACATGATAAGCATGCAATCCAAGCTTCAAATTTATAAAACTTGTACCTTTAACATGTTTTGAATTCTTCTAGTAATGATCTACATTTAAGTTTTATACAACAACAATGATGCTGCAGCTATCATAAAAACCTGATTTTTTTTGAAACAGATGAGCTAAAAAAACATCTATTCATTCATAATACTGAGCGATCCACATCTTATCATTTCCTTGAAGAAGCTGGCCACAACCACAGGGACAGATGTAGTTACACTTGCTTCTGTTTGTAGATGCCTTCCCAGCTAATTTTGAAATCATATGAACACCTAGGCCAATTTCCAATTCAGCATCATCACTTGATGTATTTAATACTTTTTCTAGTTTCAATAAATTGTCCTTGTCAAAGAATGTGTTGAGGCGACAAATGGCTTCAGCAACTACTTTACTATCAAAGTCAATCTGAAATATAGACAATATCACATAACAAATTGACTTAGGTTATGTACAGACATTATTTTCTCACAAGGGTATTACTTTTCAAGGAAGAATGATCTTCAAACTTGTGGGTTTCAACTTTAATGAAACCCTTTTTTAAGCATAAAAATAAATAATTCAAATTAAAGGTCACTGTAGCTTTCAACTACGTACAGACCTAACTGACTGTACAACTGTCTGATTTCATGTAATGAGACTAAATATCGTGGAACCAGGCTAAAATTTAATCATGTGTAAACATGTTGTCTCCATCTAAAGGGGAACTGCCTTGCATCGGACAAAACACATGTGTGTAAAAGCTATTTCATTTCATTGTCATTATACAAAAGATTTCCAATCAAACCCCTTTTTTTTACCTTTAGAAACTAGAAATGAAGAAATTTAAATTTTCTTTTGGGATAATTGAGATAGTGCGGTCAGTACTGTCTATAAATAAATACATCTTGTAATGTCATATTCCTGGCACAATTAATGGTTAGGTTTCTCTATGGCATTGACTTAATCTTACCTGTCCTGTTACTATGGTGGCTGATTTGGAATGCTTTCGTGTGTCGTGTTGGCGATAGCGACAACAGGACAAAGCGCCAAACTGCATTTTGTCGCACTTTCGTCTTGTCCTCCTGTTGCTAATGATGTGCGCCAAACGACGCGTTGTTGTTCAGCGTGTTGTCGCAATGTCACATTGTCAATCGGTTCAAATCGAAGGATTGGCTTAAAAGCCAAGCGACAGGGCAACATCAAGTCTCAGGTCAAGGCGCCGTTTGGCATGCTTGGCTTGAGACAGGACAACAAGACAACAGCGCCCTGTTTAGCGCATTGTCGTGTTGTCGCTAGCGACAAGGCAAAAGGGTGATACGGATAAAGGTTGCGTTGTCGCTATCGACAACACAAAGGGCAATGTACCAAATCAGCCACCATATGTTACTGTAATAATAAAAAAGAACAAGTATGGAAGAAAATGAATTTCCATGTGATAATGCTTCCCCTTTAATTTCAGACATTTGTATAATAGGAAGTTTTTTATTCAGCTCTTCTCAAAGTATGGTGTACTGGTGGAAGCAGACCTCAGGTGCCCTTAGATGCATTATTTCAGACACAAACAGGCATCAGAGTAGAACCACCAATGTTCAATAAGCTAGCTGGATAGCTTTCTTACACAAGTGAAAATTCGAAGACACTTGCAATAATTGGATTGAACAAACAGTGGTGGCAGGCAAATGGTTGGAAGTCAAGTGCCTTAATCAGGCATCCAAAGATACACCAAATAATTTAGGCAGCAGATCACAGTGTTGTTAAATCCAAGCTCTAGGAATTGTAGTTTCTAAGTTTTTTAAGCTATTTTATCTATAAAAGTCAATATAATATAAATGGTCATGGGGTTAAAAACATGGCTTGCAGTTAGTAGGAGGCTAAATAATTATCTAACATTTATGACTTATCTTCCCAGACAAGATGATTTTGTCATTTATATAGTTATGGTTTGTATTAATTACCTCCTCATCTGATTCCTCTACTGTCTGTTCTAATAAATGTTCATATTTTCCTGCCTTTGGTGATGTGCCACTAAACTTGCTTATTTTTGATTTTCTTTTCCTAACACCAGATTTCTGAAAGAGAATTTACATCCCATTATAACAAATTCAATTACAGCAAAGTTTATGTTAACAATCATAAAGAATATGTGGGGATATAATTAACATCTCCAGCCAGTACTCAACAAGTTCTATAACAGCACAGTTCATGCCTGTATCAGGCTTATTTACATGAAAACATATTGGGAAATCACTAATAACTCTAACCAGTGCTTAGGAGAACAAGTAAAGCAATGTGCATTGATGTATCAGGCTAAACATTGCTGTGGACAGGCTAAACACAGTGCATTGCTGTATCAGGCTGAACATTGATGTACATGTATCAGGCTAAACAAAGTGTATTGTTGTATCAGACTAAACATTGCTGTATCAGGCTAAACACTGCTGTAACAGGCTAAACATTGATGTATCAGGCTAAACAAAGTACACTGATGTATCAGGCTAAACAAAGTGCATTTTTGTATGAGGCTAAACATTGCTGTTTCAGATTTGTGCTGCACAAAATTTTAAACAAGAATTTTCGTAGTTCACAAGAGCTAGAATTCAGTCAAAATCCATGCAAATTTTATAGACATTGGACATTGACCTCCTAGCTAGGTCAATCATAATCTCAAATATTTGTGTGAAGTTAAAAGCAATCATTTTTAATGGTTGACACAATATGATGTTGTATCTAAGAAGTTGCATGTAAAACATTGACCCAAGTGTTCGGCTGACACCAGGATGAGTAGGATAGCCGCACTAATATCTTCAAAAATGTCCATTTTAAACATTTTACAGCTGTGGATCAAGATAAGTCACCGACCTCACCGTATACAGCTTTTTAAGGAATGACAATATGGTAACATGCATCCATGCTAGTGGTATACTGTATAATAGTACTTCAGTAACCACACTTGCCAACTTGTCAAGTTGTGCAGTTTCAGTACCTGAGTACCAGTACTAGACTTTGGTTCAGTACTGCAGTACCAGTAATTTTTCTTTGGAAGTAATAACAAACCGGAACCATAACCAGTACATGTACTTTCATATTTTCACCATATTTTGCATGAAGCCACACTGTCAAACATCAAATACGTATAATATAACATTGTGTATGCACATTTTATTAGATTATGTTTTATCAACAAGATATATTATTGCTAGAAATAAATAGTAACAGTATGAACAAAGAATATTCTGAATTGCAAGAATGCAAAAATTAGATTATTATTTAAATTAAGTCAAATTTTTTAGGGAGACAGATTAAAACCAAACATGTAAAATTTCCATAGGCCCATTAAAATTTTAATAGGCATATTTTTTCATTATTTTATATGTATATTAATAAACAATTTTTGCACTATCTTTACAATTTTTTTACAATGGAACTTAATATTTTCACTATTTTAAAATAATTTTGAATCCTGTAGTTGAATATTTAGACAGCTGTGATATAATAACTTTCTTCTTAAACTTACAATTAATTAGAACAACTCACACTAACATTTACACAAAGGTGCTGGTTGCATTGGAAAAATATTGATTTTTTGTTATATTCATTATTGTTTAAATAAAAAAACCTTCTTTTTTCTATTTTTATTATTTTTTCAAATATATGGATATTATAGTTCATTAATAACAAGATTAAACATATTATATTAAACATAAACAAAAAGGGAAGGGAATTCCAAAAATAGTTTACCTAAATGGTTACGAATTGATCACGGGGCGAGTTAACTATCAAAGTAATCGTGGAATATCAGTCTTTTGCAATAAAAGTTGAATTTTAAATCATAGAAATATTTGAAGATTACTTTACTTGAGTATCCTGGATATGTTCACCATGTTCCAGCTGCTCGTCAACATTAAGTGTCGACTTTATCTACTGTTATGGGGTAAAAAGACCATGTTTTGTATACCTCATTCAGGACCTTAAAGAAGTACCAGATTCCATTTTCATAATAACTTTTATAGTGTAATGTAAAGTCTTTGAACTGAACTTTGTTAAGGTGGTTCAATATTTAAAATATACAGGAGGATAATTAAGATATTGCAAAAAAAATATGTGATTTAGTGTCGGAGTTATCTCTCCAACCAGTATAACATTTTACAAAACATAAGCTATGTATAGCTTTTGACCGACATACATGCATATAAACATAAAACTCATAAAAGAAGCACATTAAGATAAACTTTGAAAGACAAATGGTAAAAGACAAGTTAAATTACTATAATGTGGGATGTAGACACTAAATGTTATAATTTAAAGTGAAATAATAATAATTAATAAATAGTAATGATATGCTAAGGATATGCTTAAAAGATCTATACTGTATCATAAGTGAATGAAATAATATATATCTAGATAAAAATGCGGAACATATTAGCACATACATAAAATAAGATTACATTAATAGTGGGTGGATTCTGCTGATATTGACCCAGGCCTAGCCTGGACTGCTATAAAATAAAGGAAATAAGATATTGAAAATGAAAAGGATCAGAAATGTGACCACTAATTAGGTTTTATTAATAAAAAATCCTCAATTCAAAATTTGCAAGAAGTGATCAGCAGCCTCCTCAATAAGCAAACTTCGCAATAAGCTGACAATAAGCAAACAAAATTCAAGCACACTGGAAAAATAATACATGTACATAAACATTTATGTTGAGAATATTAACAAAATTTAATCCAAATGTGAAATAAACAGATACATGTAATTAAGCAGCAAAACAAATGAAAGCAGGCAAGAAACAAAACTGAAGATGGAGCTAAGCTATAATGCAGGTTTATTGACAGAAAGTACATGAGCAACTCTCTCCATTCCATGCACCAATTAAACTTTTAAATTGGTCATAATTCACTTCCATTCTGAGGTGTTGAGGAAGTGAATTCCATAGTTTAGGTGCATAGGAACGAAAAGAGTTGCTGCCATAACTGGTGGTTCTTACCTGAGGGATAATGGCTACATTTTTATACCTAAAATTAAAAGAATGAGTTTTTATATTAACAAGATCATGTAAGTATGTTGGTCCTTGTTAATGAATAATTTTATGAATTTCGAGGGCTATAGTTCTGATTCGTCTTAATTTTAAATTTGGTAGTTTAGATTTTATTAAAAGTGAGTCATATAGTCTGATTGATAGTCATCATAAATGAATCTTAATGCTCTTTCTTGAATTTTCTCTAGTTTTTTTTGTGTACTTTTCTCCACAGAAGTGCCAGGTGACAGGGCAGTAATTAAAGTTTGATAGTATATACGAGTAATATATGTTCAATTTCCCCAATTTACATAAATTTTTACCTATTCTCTTTAGCACGTTTAGTTGTTTTGAGGCTTTTTTACAAATGTCAGAAATATGATTATCAAATTTGAGTTTAAAATCAAAAGTTACCCCTAGAAGTTTAACAGATTCATCACATTGGATTGTACTATCATTTAAACTGAAACTTATATTTTGATCCCTAGTTTTTTTACCAATAGCAATAGCCTGGAATTTGTCGGGGTTTGCTTTCATATGATTGTCCGAAAACCATTGTATTAATGACTGACTATCTGACTCTAAAGATTCAACAACATTGTCAATGTTTGTGTCACTGCATGATAAAGTGTTGTAATCTGCATAATTATAAAGATCACATTTGTGTACAAAATCAAAAATGTCATTTAAAAATATGTTAAATAATACAGGGCATAGAATAGAACCTTGAGGAACCCCTTTATAAATATCTTTGAAAGAACTTAAATTAGATCCAAGTTTGACGCATTGTTTCCTATTTGTTAAATAATTAGTTAATAAATCTAGGGCGTGGTCGGAGACCCCATAACATCTAAGTTTCATGAGAAGGAGGTCATGGGGTAGGCAGTCAAAGGCTTTTGACAAATCCATTAAAATAGCTGCTATGTATTTATTTTCATCCAGTGATCTTTTCCAGTCTTCAGTAATTTTAAGTAGAGTGCTTTGACAGCCGTAACCTGGTCTAAAAGCAGATAAGTAAGTATTAAAATGGTCATTGAAAAAGTCAGTTAGTTGGGTATTAATAGATCTTTTGAAGATTTTAGATAAAATTGGAAGGATACTAACAGGTCTGTAATTACCTTTATCTAGAGTACTATTTTTCTTATGGACCGGAACTACCTGAGCTATTTTAAGACTATCAGGAAAGATGGATGACTGGAAACTCAGATTAACCATATTAGTAATATGTTCCACGACTGAAGGTTTAGAAAATTTTAAAAGTTTAGCAGATATGCCATCTTGACCGGCTGCTTTTTTAGATGATAATTTATCAATCTGTTTACTAATGAAGGAGTTATTTACAGGTTGAAAATTGAGTTGTTTAACAGATTTAAGATTATTTCTTATAGAATTAAGGCTAGGGTGATTGTTGTTGATTGGTATTGAGTCCGCACCAATGTCCTTAGCAACATGTACATAAAATTCGTTAAAAATATCACACACCTGGGACTGATCAATAACTAGAATATCATTTTCACATAAAATCATATCCTTTTTTACAATAGTACCTTTATGTGTTAAAAATGGTTTAACAGTAGGCCAAAATGATTTATTTTTACATCCACCTACACATCTCTCTAAAAAATATTTATTTATTGATTTTCTTTTAAGGCTTGTGACAAGATTTCTTTGTTTACGGTATTTTTCCCAGTTCTTTGATGTTTTGTATTTATTATATGTATTTTGTAACATGCGTTTCTTATAAATAGCTTGTTTTAAGGTTTTATTCATATATGGTACTGTCTGGTCCATTGAACGTTTACGTTTTAAAGGGGCGTGTTTGTCTGTGACTTCCATAAAAGTTTTGCTAAAATTTGTGTATGCCTCGTTTACATTTACAGTGTTCTGGTTTAAGTATGATAAATTAGTCTGTAAATCCTCATTAATTTTTTCAATGTCAAAATTTTTAAAAGATCTATAATTAATCCAGTTTGGTTTTTTACTTTTAGTTTCATCTTTTAGCTGAAATGCAATCAGATTGTGTACATCACTCAGTCCGCAATTAAAATTACATATTTTCCCAAAAGAAGAATGGCTATTAGTTAAAATCTCATCCAGCAGTGATGGTAAACCATTTTTAGTAAAGCAGGTAGCCTTCTTAATTAGACTCGATAAGTTAAAAACATCAATAATATCGTTTAAAGGAGCACATTTGGTTGGATCAAGTAAATCAAAATTTAAATCACTTAGTAAGATATATTCATCATACTCGGAACTACATTTATCTAAAGTTGTCATGCAGTTTTGTTCGAAAGTTTCATTTGACATAGATCATTTGACATTTATATGCACCCATTAAAGGCCATTTCTTTTTATTTAAGATTACCTCTATGAATATACATGTAGATTCTATATCTGTAAATTCGAGATTTGATTTTCTATCTCCAGCTATATCTGACCTTAAGTACACTGCAATCCCACCACCTTTGTCATTTCTGTCTGCTCGCCATAAGTGATATCCGTTAACCTGCCATTGTGCATCCGGGAAAGAACCATCTAGTTTTGTTTCTGCAATAAATAAAATATCAACAATATTTTTAATAAGAATTTCTTTTAAAAAGTCAAATTTGTTCCTTAAACTATTAATATTTATATATGCACATGTGAATTTATTTGGACTTTCTTTTTTAATATTTATAAGTTCAAAAATAGCTAGAATGTCATTGTCTTCACAATCCGATTGTATTGAAGAGTCTATGCAGATGTTCGGTTCGAAGTATGAGTCACTAAAATGAAACGTGTTACAATTTCTGCACAACCAGGGTTCGTCGTCGTTACTTAGTTTGACGTATTCACTTGCTGAGATAGTAGCACATTTGATGTGCCGCCATAAGTAGCATGCCTCGCAGTACACTGCACGGTGGTTTAAAGCTACAGGCCTGTAGCAGCCTCCACAGGGAAATTTAATGGGCACTGGGTTAAGGGCAATGTCTCCAGAAAGCTGAATAATCAATATTTTTACACAAAAACGAAAATTACAACTAAATTAAAATAATTTTTAAGTATGAAGTTATAGGTAATAGGACATTTCGGACCATGGACAATAATAAATAAATAAATAAATGAATAAATAAATAAATAAATAAATAAATTGGGGTTTTATAATGTGTTTTAGAATACATTTGTAAAACGATTTTTCTTTTACAAATATTGTACCTAGATATGCGCAAAAAGCAATAATTAAAATGAAATAGTACGTGAGAAATATAAATCTAGACCATATTAAAAGGCATTTAGGGAAGGACATGAAACTTGACAAAATGGTGACTGCGTCATGAAAATATCAACTCACGCGTGCATGATTTAATGTGGTTCAAGTAAGCGTTTTTTAATTACATGTTACTGGATTTTTTTTACTTATATGCAATAAAAGCTATATATGACTCGCTTTGGTTAGGCTTCGAGCTTAATATATGGTACCAGAATTGCCGTTTTACTTATTTTCTTATATTCAACTTAACTGTGTTCATAATTAGATTGACGAGAACGACACGTACACTCTTGGCAACATCTGCTCATGAGCAGTTTCTTAATACTTTCCATAGATTAAATTTATATATATATATAGTTTTACCGAAATATATTGTGAAAAGCAATTTACAATGAACTTGTATTCATTAGAGCATTACTATTTTCCTTGTATTCTCAAAATGCTTCATTCTTGCCGTAACTTTTATTTTACCTTTAAAGCATTTTTAAAGACAACCTGGTTGAATATCTTGGCTTGTAAGTAGAGTGAATTAATTAAGTGGTCCTATATTTTATTAATTTGATTTTTTTTCATACATACAATATTTAGCTCCAAAGTTTGTTCTAATTGTTGCAAATTTATGACAGTGACAACAACAATAGGTTTAATTACCACTGAAACATTGTAATTGTTCATGGCAACTAACTGAAATACATGTAAGTCTATATATGTAATATAAATGGTGAGCATCAATTCAAGGACAATAATGAGTCCTCTATATTTGATATGAGTAAATGGATATTCAGTAGCTTTCAAGTAACTGGAGTAGCTTCTACAAGTAGAGTAATAAGTAACACCAATGCTAGAAAACCCTGTCTTACTCGCCCCCCCCCCCCCCCGCCAATACCGTTTGCCTTTTTGAATGGCTTAAAAATTCTGGCACGAAAGTGTCACATGGAAGGTTCCATGATAACCGCCGTATGTATACATCTGCGAATGTTTCTAAATTCAAAATTTCACCATTACAATGATTAAATGTTGAATTCTGCTTAAGCCGGTGCTGGACGGTAACTTGCACTTCCCATAACCGTCAATTAACAGGCTCAATCAAACCGAGCCTGCAACATTTTCAAATTTGCCGTGTTAAGCTTTCTTTAGGGATTCTGTTTTTCTCCCTATCATTGCGTTCTTAGAATGACGTCATTTTGCTGTTATGAATGAAGTTATACATTCTTAGGCACGCAGTTTCATTCTAAAATGCGCTATTTAAAGCACGCGACTCATCTGGCAGTTGAAATTTCCGACATGGGTAAAAATAACGAAAACAGCGGTCTGATATGCAAGAAAATACAGTAATAGAGTCAAAGAACAAGAGGCTAATTAATCAACTGTTTTGCCGTTTACATGTTAGCGAACGTGTATATTTTACTAAAATACTTAACAGGCTTGAGGACATTAACATTTCAGTCCGGTGGGACCCGCCCATGGGCAGTATCGAGGCTTGCCGAGTCACTAGTAAAATCTCAAAAAATATGCACTGAACAATTTTACTTCAATATCTTCGTCAAATCAAAAGCTAGGAACCTAAAACCGTGTGTGACACAAAGATTTCCTTAATGAATGGGCATATTTAAAAAAATGAATATAACAGATTTGCAAA